GTTTCCAGTGTTAAGCAGTAACTTAATTTAATTTTTAAATATGCATGCATGCAATCATACATACTCGTTTACTGACATACCCATTTCATCACTAAACACAAAGTTGTCGCCTATGTACTTGTATGTTTTTGTTATTTTTGCATGTTCACCCCAATAAATAAATAAATAAATAGAAAAATACAAACACTGTATTTATTATCTGATGATTTATACAATTTTGTGTTCCCAGTGCTAAGCAGTAACTTAATTTGTTTTTTATATACAGCTTGCATGCACACATACACACATATGTAATTAATATGTATAATATGTGTAAATGTATAAAATCACAAATATAATTTGAATTAAATATATATTGGGAAAAAAGGCTACAACGTACATAAATGCCATTAATTTTTCAGTACAAAGATATGGCGCAACAGGGCGGGTTTGTAATCTCAAATTATCTAGGCCCCAGTTTTATTTCATTTTGTTTGACTTGCCACTGAAATAATAACGTAAGAAATTTGAGTGAGAACCTGTCAACAGGTCTAAACTAACTTGTTCTCATAATGCACATAACCAAATGAAAAAAAAAAAAAAAAAAATGATAGTCCCATATTTTTTTTTCTCTTTTGTAATTTGGAATAGTAGCACTCTTAAAAAAAAACATTAGTATCAGATTATGCAGTACTTTTCAAAATATGGTCATAGGTTGATACTACCCTATCTTTATTTGGATGTTGATATTGGATTGGTAATTTGTGTATTTTGATGCATTTATTATAATAATTATAAGAATATTATCTGTGTACTCCTATAGTACAGTGAAATTATTGCTATTTTCCCACATGGCTATTTAACTCCTGTTTTATTTGTTGCCTCTATCACTATGTAATGATTTATGTCATAAATTCAAATTCATTATACATATCACTACATATAAATGAATTTCAAGGGCATAATTTACATTAAATAAACATTTTAGAATTTAAAATTAAATGTATGATTTGCAATCCAATGGTAAAAATAAAACTTTATTTTGGAAACATAATAATAATACCAATTATATATATCTCCTTTTAACTCTTTTCAATATTAATAAATGCACAAATAATAAAAAGGAAATTAAAAGTAATTTACAAGTAGAAAAAAAAAAAAAAAACACAAGAAACAGATTTGAATTCTATACTGTCATGTAACTAATTTCCACATATGTGCATGTTTACCGCTCGGCTACATAAGTCTGAATTTTTTTTCTATATTTGTTTTGGATACTTTTTTATATTTTATATTTTCAATATTTGTATATATTTTTGTATTGGAGTGGTTACACCAAAACAGAATTTCTGTATTTTGGACGATAAAATAATCTTGAATCCTGAATGAGCACTTTTACTGACATACCCATTTCATCACTAAACACAAAGTTGTCGCCTATGTACTTGGCCTCTGATGCTTGTACGTTTTTGGTTTTTTTTTGCATGTTCACCCAAATAAATAAATACAAAATATAAACACTGTATTATTACCTGTTGATTTATACATTATTTGTGTTTCCAGTGTTAAGCAGTAACTTAATTTAATTTTTAAATATGCATTCATGCAATCATACATACTCCTTTACTGACATACCCCTTTCATCACTAAACACAAAGTTGTCGCCTATGTACTTGGCCTCTGATGCTTGTATGTTTTTGTTATTTTTGCATGTTCACCCCAATAAATAAATAAATAAATAGAAAAATACAAACACTGTATTATTATCTGATGATTTATACAATTTTGTGTTCCCAGTGCTAAGCAGTAACTTAATTTGATTTTTATATACAGCTTGCATGCACACATACACACATATGTAATTAATATGTATAATATGTGTAAATATATAAAATCACACATATAATTTGAATTAAATATATATTGGGAAAAAAGGCTACAATGTACATAAATGACATTAATTTTTCAGTAAAAAGATATGGCGCAACAGGGCTGGTTTGTAATCTCAAATTATCTAGGCCCCAGTTTTATTTCATTTTGTTTGACTTGCCACTGAAATAATAACATAAGAAATTTGAGTGAGAACCTGTCTAAACTGACTCGTTCTCATAAT